AATTATAGGCTAGAGATAAAATTAATAAATTCTCTTAATAGTAAATTTAATAATAATATAAATTATAGAACTTTTTTTAAATTACTAAAGCTATTATCTACTAAGTAAAAGGTGTCTATAACTATATATCTATTTTTCTATAGCTAAAAATATTACTTAAGGTTAATATCTCTATAGTTATTAAATACTAAAACGTCTATATACTTTTAGGTATTATTACTAAAATTCTTAGGTATATATTAATAAACTAGCTATAAATTTCTAAAGTCCTAAGAAGGTTTTCTTTATAGGTTCCTTATTTTATATAGAGGGTATAAAATAAGCTTTTGTCTTTTTTTTTCTTTAGAAAGGCTAGTGTTTTTTATAGTGTTTATAGTATTTTTTTATAAGAAATAGGTAAGTAGTTTCTAGTAACACTTTATTTACTTATTTTATTACTAGCTAGAAGGTAACTTAGATCTGGTTACCTTATAAGTAAGTATTAGCTTATCTTTAGTTTTTTATAGTTTAGATATTATAAGATATTTTTATTTACTATAAAGAATATTTCTTTTTTAGCCTTCTTAGTAAAATATAAGATTTTTTAGCTATCTTATATAGCTAGTATAAGCTATTAGTTAGGTATATTTAGCTATAAGATTTAAATCTATCTTATTATAAACTAAGGTAAGATACTAGGATTTTAGTTCTTTTACTATATAAGCTAGTTACTTAACTTATATAGTAAAATAATAAATATTTACCTAGTTTTTTATATTCTTTAATATATACTTAATTTAATATAGCTTTTACTTAGTAACTTTATATAGTAGTTTAAATTATTAGGTAAAAAGCTCCTCTTAATAGTTTAGTCTAAGCTATAGGTCTTAAAGCTTAGCCTAGTCTTTTAGTTCTAAGTCTCCTAAGTACTACTTATTTATAAGTCTTTTTAAGTAAAAATAGAGATTTATTAGCGTAGCTATAGTATAGTCTTTAGATATTATAGTGTAATACTAAAAGAAGTTTATAAATTAGTAGACGTCTAGCTAGATAGTCTTAGTTCTTATAGTCTTACTATTATTAATAACATCCTAGGTTACTAGTAAATTAAACTATTTAATATCTTTTATTTTAAAATAGAAGGTAGGCATAACTAAGTAATCTTAAAATTCTTTATATTAGTCTAATTATTTATTATAAAAAAGGCTAGTTCTTTAGTTTACTTAGCTAGATTACTAGAATTTTACTACTTTTTTTTTCCCCCTCTAATTATAGCTATCTTAGGCTTTTTAGTTATACGTATAGTAAGCCTATTTATCTATATTTTCTTTTAAAAATAAGAAAAAAGGTTTTTATAAAGGCCTAGTAGTAGTCCCTTTATTATTTTTACTTTTATTTTAGTAATACCTAGGCGTTTTACTAAGTAAGGCTTCTTAAAGCTTTCTTTTACCCTTATAATTATATTTATTATACCTAAATATTTTACCTTATAAGACCTTAGTTTAAGTATCCTTATTATCTTTATTTAGTTTATCTTTTTTAAAGTTTATAGTCTTAATTACTATCTTAAAAGGTAAGGAATTATCTATATCCTTAGGATTATTTAGGTTAACTTTAGTATAGTATATCTCCTTTTAAGAGAAAAAAGTAGCTTTTTTTAGCTAATTACTAGAGGAAAAAGCCTTACCTCTAGGTAGTAATAATACTACTAAAGTATTTTCTATTTTATATTAGGTAAATAAGGTAATAGCTTTAGTGTACTTATAATCTTTAGCTAGCTAGGTTTTTATAGCCTATTAATAGCGTCCTCTATATTATATTTAAGTAATAAGGTATAACTTAGATTCTTTTAGGAAGTTATATTAAGCCTATAGTAACTAATAAGTAACTTTTAAGAGAGTATATATATAGGCGCTTAAATAGTCTTTAAAATAATCTAGGTTATATAAATAAGCTAAGGTTAATTAAGCTACTTTTTTAAGATCTCTTAAATATAGAAAGCTAGCTATTAGTATAGGTTACTAACTAATTACTAGTAATTCTATTTAGGAAAACGTATTTCCTAAAGAGTTCCTAGTTATAGCTAGAAAATACTCTTAAGAAGAAAGTAAACTAGTGTTTATTCTTTTTTACTACGCTTATATATAATATATATTATATAGAAGTGTTCTTAATAGGTACTATATATAAAAGCTAAAGAGGGTCTAAATAATTATCTAACTAAGTCCTTTTTTACTTACCTAAGGGTTTATTCCTTAGATAAAAGAAATAGTTATACTACTATTTATTACGCTTTAGTATAAAAAAATAAGATATAATATTTAATAATCCTTTTTTTACTATATTATAAATATTTTTTTACTTAAATAGTAAAGTATATCTTTATAATTCCTTAGTGTAATAGCTATAAAGCTGCTATTACGTTCTCTATTATTTTATAAAGTATTATTAATCTTTTCTTTATAGATTACATAAGTATTACCTAGAGACTTCTTAGGAAATACACTACCACTTAGTAGTAAAACCCTAGATAATTCCTAGTGGCTATTGTGGCGATTCTCTAGGAATTCTCTATTATGTTCCTATCTGTTATATAACACTTTCTATATAAATTTACTATTTTTACCTTAGTAACTCTATTATAAAGGTAATAAAGCTACTTTATAGTATTACTAAGGCAGGCACCTACTAGTAGGCTATATATAACTACTACTATAGAGAGAATCTTTAGATAGATTTATTAACCTTTAACCCCTACCTACTTATTTTATTAGCTAATAATAAGGATTTTAGCCTTATTAGTATATAAATAGATAATATAATTAGCCTTATAGATAATAAATTCTCTACCTATAAGGAGAAAAAGCTTAAGAAGGTAACTTTTACTATAAAGCCTAAGTAACTATTAACTATTAATAATTTTATTACCTTTAATAGTAGTATACTTTCCTTTAGCTATAATAGTAAAATAAATTTTTACTAAAAAAATTAAGGTAAGAAGCTCTAGCCTATTAATATAAATTTACTTACTACTAAGTAAGATTTTATTTAGTAAAAGGCCTATAAGGCGTATATTACGTTAATATACTAACCTAAGGCTTACTTTAACTATTTAGTTACTATATAATACTAAAAGCCTATAGAGGAGGAGATTAAGGCTCTTAACTACTAGATTAAGTAGTAAATAAGTTACCTTAACTACAGCCTGTTTTTTTAGCTAGTTAACCTTATAACTATAAAGCTTTTTATCTTTATTAACAGCTTATTTATAAATAACTATAATTTTACTTTATAACTTAGCTTTATTATTATACTTACTAATAAAAGTAATATTATATAACTTACTACTAATAATAAGAAATTTATACTTACTAGTAATATTATCTACTTTAGCTTAATAAAGTATAAAAAAGTTATATATAGCATACTAGCCTCTAAAGTCTATAGTATAGTTACTAGTACTAACGTTACTTATATAATTAGCACTACACTTATAATAATTACTAACTACCTTAAGTTACTATAAATCCTAATAATCCTTTATACTAACTTATACTTCTTCTATAAGTGCCTTATAAAGCTTAGTACTACTAAAGAGAAGTAACTTATAATTAATATTATAGCACTTTACTAGTTATATAAGTAATATAAGATCTATAAGATCTAATAAATATAAGGGGAGGATAACCTAGTAGATAGATTTATAAAGGCGTTACCTAATAAAGCGCTAGAGTAGTTAATTAACAGTAGTTAATTAAAGATATAAATAAATAAATAGGTTTTATATATATAATAGATTATATATATAAAAAGTATTAAATACTTTTTAGCCTTTTGTTTTTATTACGTTTTTAGGCCCTTTATAAATAACTAAAAAATAAAGATAATTTATAGCACTTTAGAAAGTTACTAGTGTTATAATATTAACTATTGCCTAGATATTAGTAGTATAAATTAACACTAATTAGCTAGAATAACTATAGCTAATTTGCTATAGATCTACTAGATCTATAGGGATATTACGCAGTGAATTCGCTACATAATCCCATAATAGTTTTCCTTCTTTACGTATAATTCAGAACCAGTATTTACCCCTATTATTTGTCACTGCCTATTAATACGTACAGTTAACCGTATCACCACCCTAGTGAAACCAACAGAAGCATTTTGAAGATCTAAGGATGGGTCAGGAAAGGTCGTTTTAAGATACGAGAGATTCGCGGAGCAAATTCGGAACTGACAATCGAATGTCTCTGTGACCCCTTCGATTTTCGCACTGATCGCTGGTTTGCCGATGTAATCTTTGACAGTTTTGTGGAGATACTGTACAGACTGCGTCGAAGATTTGGTCCCTGCAACCTCAAGAAGTCCTTTGCACCTGCTGTTGATTCTGCGTCTGATCGTCTCAATCCGAACTTGGATTTCGTCGCTCGTCAACTGCTTAAGGGGCAGATTGATGGGATATGTGACATCTTCATCGGCGAAGGAGAAGATCAAAGCAGGAGGGGGCTCATCAAAGGCCTCCATGAGACGGAAATACTCAGCCGCATGTTGAAAATAAAACGGATCCAGAGACTCAAGAATGGCGCTATACAGCTTTTCCAAATCTGCCGGCAGAAGATCGAGCCATTTCTGTATGTCAACAATCCTGTCGTCGTGTTGCAGGCCGGCAATGAGCGACTGGACAACGAGATTGACCCAAAGGGAAACACCCGAGGATTTCCGTACTATATTTTCAATCAATCCGCTTGCGTAAAGGGGTTCCCGGACTGTCAGACGCTGAAAGCCTTCATTGCCTTCAAGCCTTTCGGTGACGAATGCCAGGATATCATTGTACGTCAGGTCTTCAAGCTTGAGACTGGGTTGATGCCGAAATGCGTCTTCAAATACAAGCCAGGGACGGCTGGAGACGCAGAGTTTGACTTTTGGGTAAGATATGATATCTTGGAATAACTCCATGAGCGTTTTTGATTCTCCGGAGAACTCATCGAGTCCACCAACAAAAAGACAGATGTTGTTGTCTTTCTCAGCCTCTGCGATGACAAGAGACAGCATCTTCCTCAGATCTTCTTCTGTTCGGCGAAGAAGCCTGCCATTGAACAGAGACATTGCCTCCCAGTAGGCTGGAGCTACTCGCGGTATCACTTCGGGGCAGTGCTGAAGAATCTAGGATATCAGGGACATGAAGAGCCCCTTCGGCGAAGACTCCATTTCTGAGCCGGAAGCCCAAAAGTAGAAGGATGCTATGATCAACGGCCGGTCCTTGGCCCAGTTCAAGAGATGCGGGTAGCATCGTCCCTGAGTAGCTGTCGACGGGGGCTCCGTGTCTTTCTCATCACAGATGAACTTCATCAAAGTGGATTTTCCTGAACCGGCCTTTCCCGTGATCCAGTAGAGAGATGCATCGGATTCAAGCCACTCTTTGAAGTTTGCCCATGCGGTTGTGTCCTCTGAAGGGGACTCAAACAGCCATTGAAATATATCCTTGTGTGCCTTGGTGATTCTTAGATGTCGATCTTCCATGACATTATAAACGAGACTGGCAAGGAAGGCGGCGTGGAGTTCCTCTTGGCGGGTATTCGACAAATCGGCCGGCAGAGGGTCTACGGCACCAAGGTGAACTTTGCTTTCTGGGGTACTGAGGATTCGTTGAACGATACCATCTCGTAGTCTCTGAGCACTGGCCTTCCGTTCTCCAGGTTTGGCGCCAATCGTGCGAGTGACAAAAGCGATCACCGCATCACCGGGCCCATCCCAGGAAGTTTCTTCGCCTTCTTCAATCTCATCAGGCGAGGAGAATATGCGGTTTCCGACGCCTTCTTGAATAATACCAAGCTTCTCAAGCACGATTTTCTGCTGTTCTTCTGACTTTATCGCGAGGTCTCTGCATCAGAAAATTATCAGCGCCCGCAGATAACTGAATAAGACGTCGAGAGATGGAATAATTAGTGGTAGCCAAGAAATAGCGAGACCCTGTGAGAACATACGGTGAAACATGAACGAGAAGTCATGAATTCTTACCTCAGGGAATAAAGAAGAGCAGTCTGGAGGCCCTGGCCGAAGAGCATAACATCGCTTCTGAGATCTTCAATCTTCTTCTCATTCCACGTCGCCTTGAACTCAGTAGTGACAGTTCCCCACGTAGTCTTGTTTCCCTTCAGACCAATACCATCTAGGGTTCCCCGGATCTCAGAGAACTTCTTGGAACACTGGTCAGACACCTGCAAAACTTCAGAGTGTTCCGGCAACAGCTTTGTACGCTCAGCCTCGGATAGGTGCAGGCCCCGCGATGTATTTTGCTGGCGAGTCACAAGGTCGTGGAGTTTGCGTAGTTCATTGGAGACCCCTCCAGCAGAACGGTGAATGCTTATGCATTTGTTAGTAAACTTTGTCGCAAACTCGGTAAATTGGAGGATGTTGCCGGCAAGAGCAAAAGCCGCGACAGATTCGGCCATGCTGGACAAGGCTACGATTAACGCGGAAAATAACAATGTTCAAATGAGGTGGGGTCGAGCTAGAGAAGAAGAGGACGAGCAAAAGAAGGGGAGGACGAGCAAAAGAAGGGGAGGACGAGATCCTCAAAGCCTTATCTACCATTCTGTCAGCTGTCATCCCCGCGCTCAAAATCGTCGAATAGAGGTAGGTGCACATCAGGCTATCCACGTTATACGGCATCAATAATTGAGGCTGTGCCTATGCACCGCGCCCCATTTGGTCAAGCTGAACTATCAGTGATTTACAAGCATCTCATGAAAACTACACATAGCCCGAGCCGGTGTCTCCCATCAGTATGTAGCTGAGGGCGACCAAAGTCACATTTCAGAGCCCAAGGCTGGTCATGTGCCTTCACTTTGAAGGGCACTGGAGTGCACAGCCTTATTCGAGAGGTTTGTTTGTCTATTGATACAAGCTGACGGTCAATACGGATGGCAGATATCATGGTTACGGGAAGCGAAGGGCCCGAATTATGTGTCTGCAGGCCTATGTACGGCAAAAGAAATAAAAAAAATAAATGATAAACCCGACAATAATGGGAATAGAAAAAGGTCAAGTGATGAATCCCTGAATAAACCCTCCGGCCCCCTTATCATTTAAACTTCCTCACGGTGAAGAGTATTAGAAAAATGCTCACAGAGAGAAATTTTCCACAGAGATAGCAAGCTTAGAGGTCGCCTCTTGGCCTCGAAATCCCTCAAAGTTACTCATGGTCTTACTAACTGCGACTTACTATACCAATCCATATCTAGTAATCTGGAACGGTTTGTGTATGAAGTCTGAGATATGAGGGTGTCATCTTGATTGTTTGGGCGGGTGACTCGGAGGTAAACCCGTCAGTCTTTGCCATTCTATGCTAGTTCAGACATGAGAAGAGGTCTAAAAGAAACAAACATACTGGAACAACACAATGATTATGTATTCATCATGATATGGCAGGCGCCTTCTGGGTTGTCGCAAGATTTGCGACCTCCGTGGTCACAGATACATGATATTCACGAACAAGACCACCGCTAGCATCAATAAAAAGCTTGGAGGAGAAAATGCCAACTTGGGCCATGAATTTAAGCCAGCATCACTTACACTGTGGTATCTCGTATAGCGTATATAGTTGATAAGAATGAACTTGAAACAGAAATTTGGAACATCGCTACAACAGCCCTGGTTCGACATCTGTCAACAAGGTCTCCTCCACAGCATTCTTGGTGCCACCACTTGTAGTCGAGGTGTCGTGACTGGACTGAAACTAGCACTGCCGAGCGTCATAGAGTTGCACCAGAGCGGAGGATGGACCGGGGGGGCATGGTACTGTGCACTATATTCCAACATTGACGTCGTATTAATGGTTTGTGTTGCTATGAAGGCGCATTTTGCACCACAATGGACCTTGTGGAACTGACAGCTGGATAAACGATCTCGAAAGAGAAAAGCAACGAAGAATCGAGTCAGCTATGCACAAAAACCAAAGCATCGGGGTGGATATGCTATCCCGTGCACAGAGTAGCCAAGAGATTTGTAGAACAGAAGGACGCGGGCGCATATAAGTGACTGGGGATAACTTTGTTAAGTCGGAACAACCATCTGAGGGGTCCAGATTTAGGAAGTCACATGGAGGCGATGCGATCTAAAAGTGTCACGATATGATTTGCTTCATACGATTGGAAATGATTTCCTGCTGGACCGTTGTCCACTGATTATACTCCGTGAAGGGCTAGACTAGGCTTCTGTAGCAAAAATAGCAACGATGAAACAGCCCGACCAGCAACCCTGCTTGGGCTTGCTAAACCCCGAAGAATGGGGCAGAGCAGCGCTATGTCGGAGTCCTGAGTATATTGTGCATAGCAAATGTAACCCTTTGGATGGCCACACTTGAATCACCCACTAAGGTAAGGTTACAAGACGGTCCCTCTCAAGGACGCACAGGTACACAACATTGAATGATTGACACTGGTCCCCAATATGTTGCATGCCAAGATGCCTTCTGACAAGGAGAGAAAAATCACCTGTGTTACACCCGTTTCTAGTTATTCTCATGTGAATTAGCTCAGCACGACGTCAACCCAAAAGTGTGCGCCAGGAATGCCCATTTTGGGTGTGTGCCTGTGAGAGGTAAATTCAAAAGGGTTCGAATAGGTGTCGAATGTTTGACTTTGATGACATGGGGAAGGGCAGACCCATGGCCTTAACGCCAATGTTAAGTCCCATTTGGGTGGTTCCCGGCAGATCTGGGGCCTGGTTCCTTTCGCATGAACGTTCGTCAGAGGGCGGAGCAGCGGTATCCCCGAGTCATTGGTCAGAAACTCAAGGTTGTCTGCTAACTTTCTGGCCGTTTAGGGGCAAAAGCCCCTTACTGGACCGAACTGACATCTGGGCCAGGAACTATTAACAGAAGTTGTGCTCGAAAGTCTTTGTGGGCCGAGATGTTAGCCACTGGGCACACTTGGAATAGTTCACGTCAAGACCCTCTGGGATCCACTCCGCCGCCAGCTGTGCAAGCGAATGACGGAATGGTGTTTCTGAAAGCCATTTACTTGCTAAGCGATGCTACATCAATGTCGACAGCTGAGATGGTGGAAACCTTATGTTTACGAGCTATTGTGACACTGAAATGGTTGCCTCCACGAATGAATCCACTCGCATGAACTGGTCACTTGGAACTCGAACAGAGAGAAGTGGTCTTTACTGAACAAACTCTGATAAAAGAAACGAATATAAAAACCATCCGATATAAAGTCGATGAAACTATAAAGAAAATGACATATCTCGTTGTAATTGAGATGTAATTATTCCAGCTCGACATCACACCCATATCAGGATATCGAGCATCTGGCCTCATTAATCCTCTTCCTTCTCTTCAACATATATCTTTTCTCCTCTCTTCCACATTTTGCAACTCATTTTCAACAAAGACACCCATCATGTCGACCAAACAGGCTTTGTGTCTCCTTCCCCTGCTTTTCGGCCTCGGCTGGTCCTCGCCAACACTCTACCCGCGCAAGGGAGACCGCGCCCAGAGCTCCGTGATCTCCACCAGCACAACTTCATCTCTTCCCGGTGGTGCTAAAGCGACTGAGACACCAACGCCATCGAATCCTAGTGCTGCGCCTGTGGCCAGCGGCACCCCCAGTGGGGGGAATGGAACCAAGCCCGGCGGCGGAGGCAAGCCCACCCTCCCTGAAGGCTACGCAAAAATCGTCTTCCAGGACGACTTCTCAACACAGAAGGCCGGCGCCCTGCCCGACGCCTCAAAGTGGACGTTCGACGTCGGCACCGGGTACCCCGGCGGCGCGGCGAACTGGGGCACGCAGGAGATCCAGACGTACACCAAGGACCCGGCCAACATCGCCATCTCGGAGAGCGGCACGCTGACGATCACGCCCATCAAGAGCGGCGAGGCCTGGACCTCGTCCCGCATCGAGACCAACGCCGCACAGGACTTTAAGTGCCCCGAGGGCGGCAAGCTGCGCATGGAGGCGAGCATCATGATCCCGGCCTCGGACCCGTCGACCCAGGCCGGCATCTGGCCGGCGTTCTGGTCCATGGGCTCCGCCTTCCGCACCAACGTCAGCTCGTGGCCCAGCGTCGGCGAGATCGACATGCTCGAGGTCTCCAACGGCGTCGGCACGGTGTTCCAGACGGCCCACTGCGGCGTCATCAACGGCGGGCCGTGCAAAGAGAAGACGGGCCTCAGCTCCAGCGCCGAGTTCCCGCGCGGCGAGTTCGTCAAGGTGGCCTGCGAGGTGGACCGCTCGGCCGGCGGCGGCTTCGCATCGGAGAAGCTCGTGTGGTACGTCAACGACCAGCCCACCAAGACCATCACGGGCCAGCAGGTCGGCGACGAGGCCTTCTGGAAGAACCTCGCCCAGACCTCCAAGATGATCTTGCTCAACGTCGCCGTTGGCGGCGAGTTCCCCGACGCCAAGGCGGGCTCCAAGACGCCCACCGCGCAGACCGTCGGGGGCAAGGACTCGCGGATGGAGGTCAAGTATGTCGCCGTGTACAGCTCGTAGGAGCCGTTTGTTTTTCATTTACGTCACCTGAAAGTGGCATTGTACATATATGACATCTTTTCAAAGCACCCTTGAAGGGGTTCTGGGACTGGAGCCGGACATTTTGTTGTTGGAATTCCGAGGCATTTGCGATTTTGATTCTATCGATAACGCCTTTGTACATGTACATTTTTAAGCCTGGACATATTCATGAATATATATTCCAACCCAACTTTGCTTCCTCGTGTTTTTGTGCAAGTTATCTTGTTGAGAAAGGTAACGCAATTCGAGCACATGACGGGCTCAAACTTTCCATGGGTTGCCTAGGGGCCGTTCGTCAACGAGACATTCCAAAAAGGTAAGATTGGACAAATCTCAATGTCTACGAAGTGAAAGGGAAAAGTGAACCATTTCTAGAACTTATCTGTAAGGCTACAAGGCTTCCAAGTATCATTCGACAAGGTGTTATTAACGGCACACCATGCGATCTTCAATTAGATATACTGCGCTACAAGTGTCAAACTGGAGCATTTACATCTCTCGAAAAATCGTACGCACATCACATTCAAGTCATAGAAGCATAATAGTTGAAAGACACTCATGCTATATTGTCTGGTGCCGCTCTGAAAGGGTGTAAAACACAGAATTACGCTGTATACTATGTACAAAGAACTTCTAATATGGACCTGGAAGAATACTTGTTTCCTCTATGTAAAGTTGTTCGAGACGCTCACTCGCAAACTGGAGCAGTGTTTCTCTTAGTAGTGGGCAGAGCGGCGGGCCTTGCGGGCGCGGCGCTTGCAGCCAGCGTCGGCGTCACCGGTGGGGGCGGCGGCAGCGGCGGAGGTGGTGGCGGCAGCGGTGGCGGTCTTGGTGGCGAGGGTGGTAGGAGTAGCGGCAGCGGCGCTGGTGGCAGCGGGAGCGGAGGCGACGGGGGCAGAGCCGGAGCCGGAGCCGGAGCCAGACTTGTAGACGGCAGGGCCGGGGACGACGTAGTTGGTGATCTTGTTGTAGATGTTGATCAACAGACCGGGGTCAGTGGCCTTGTAGGCGCCGGGGAAGGTGACGCCGGTGGGCTTGGCGGAGCCGGAGCCCTCAACCTTGAGCTGGTAGCAGGACATGTAGTACTGAGCGCCGTCGACGGAGCCTGCGGCGTGGAGGGCGACAGTCTCGGCGCGGAGGAGGTAGTCGCCGGGGGCGATGTCGGCGGGGATGACGACGTTCTGCTTGCCGCAGCCCTCGTTGATGAGGTCGTTGCCCCAGGTGTTGTTGTTGGCGAAGTAGCCGGATTCGAAGATCTTGAAGAAGGGCTCGGAGCCGTCGGCGGCGGCGGCGTCGGCGACGGAGCTCATGTAGACCATGACGGGGCCGTGGTGGGCGCCGCCGATGGCCTCCTTGGTGCAGTCGCGGTCGTTGTGCTGGTGCATCTCGACGGTGACGACGTCGCCGGCCTTGACGGCGCAGGTGGAGGCGGCCTTAGCGGCGTTGGCGTTGCAGCGCATGTCGTCGGAGGTTGGGTCCTGGATGGGAGAGTTGGAGGCCTACCGGAAAACGACGGGGTTAGTATTCTTCTTCTGCCTCGATCTGGGGCCGTGGACTCCACGGTTTTGATGTCGACTTACGGGCATGCGAACGCAGCTGTCCGCCTCGTCCTTGCCGTTGACCCAGAGTTGCTGGAAGATGGCGTGGCCGGCGACCATGTTGGCCATGGAGGCGGTAAGAGCGAGAGCAGCGATAGACTTCATCTTGACGGTTTGGGGGGGTGGTTGTCGGTGAGAAGAGGGACAAGTGATTCCGGACAGAAGCGTATGTACACACAAAAGGTGGGAGCAAGTGAATGGACGCCGGCGTCGGGCTGAGAGAATGACTGAAAGTAAAGAGTGGAAAGATGAGTGACTGAAAGCTGATAGAGAGAGAATAGCTAGAAATTCCTCTGAGGAGGAGAGCGGGCTGGGTCTATATGTATGCCTCGACAACTCTCGAAGCCCCTCCTCACCCCTTCCAGCTCGTCCACTCCGTCCCATTCTCAGTCTCTGACATCTTACTGACATCTTACTGACATCCGCCACTGTGGGCATGACAGGCCAGTCCGAAGCCGCCAAGAACCAATTCAGGACAGGGGAGACTGCATACGCAGCTCTCGTCCCACTGGCCGCAATGCCGCCTCACCGTTTCGGCCAATTAATATGAAGGGCATATCTTCTTCTCCCACCTCTGAACGAGGATTAATATCGACGGAACAAACAAGGGAGGGGTTGTCGGGACTGAATGGGCGTCATTCCCTCGGGCAAACAGCCGGTACGGCCCAGTCTCCCCTGCGTCGCGGCCGGTCGGTCCACCGCCGTTGATTGGAGCAATAATCCCAAAAAGGGTTAACGTTATGGGGATACCCGCTGTCGTGTCTAAATTGCGGGATGCGTACCTTGCAGCTCGGGGGGCGGCGTAGGCATGGAGGCGCCTGGCGCCACTTTGGCTCGGTTCGAGGCCCTCGCCTTTTGTTTTTACGTCTTTTGCATCGTTGCTGTGCACTGCTTTTGCTTTTCCTCATTCGCCACATGTCTCCCGGGGGGTCCTCGTCGTCGTCCCAGTTTAAGATAATCCAACTCCTCGCCCCTGAAGGACATGATTGTTCGGGGCGTTGCGGCCGGCCGCTGCAGTGCAAACCCAGGGTTCTCTCGTCCTCCTCTGTCTCCCCGCTGCTCGTCCGAACCTGAAACACAAACGGAAGTGTACCCTTGGCGCTATAGAGCCTTGCAGCGCGGCAAACCCACTGGACAAACTGCCAACTGGTGGCGTGTAGTCGTTCGTGGTGTCAAAAAGGGGATGATTAAGTCGTTTGATCGGATCTTTATGCAATGTGTCACTCAATGATTCAACAGATAATTAGTGAACGTGTTCTGGGTTGATGGCTTTCCGCGAGCGACGTTTGGTAGCGCAGAACTTAGAAGCGCAGGACTAGGTAGATCGGATCAGCGCAGCACTGCGTTTTGAGTTCCTAGGTGCTTCTCGACTTCCCGCGAGCTAACAACTGGGGCAGGTTGACACGACGCTTGAATGATTCCGATTGGCCGGGTCGGGTGTCGGTGATCGCCATCCTCGTCCAGGGATGGCCAGAACCTGGTGCCCCCGATGGATTGTGTCATTCAAAGTGGTCCATCCCCATCCGAACACGTGCGTTACGAGTAGGTAAAGAGCGGCGTTGGGGGACAGGCCATTGAGAACGCAGTATTAGGGACCGACAAGCATCCTTAACATGGGCAGCCGGTTCCTAACTCAATATGCCGGGGGATTCCCACTGCGGCTGGTGACCGGACCGATGTGTTCTACGCACCTGAGCTGGGCGGAGAGCGAGCGGCAGTGACCGTCGATTTACAACAGCTCGTGGAGTGCATAGAGCAGAAATGGAGAAATATTGAACAATATTTTCCCCTCATCTCGGATGTTTGCGAGAACTTGGGATGGATTCATTATTGTGGCCCTCTGATTCCGTCCGGAGGGGAATCATCTCCGAGTGAAACGAGACTATATCTTGGGGGCCGGCGTACTAAAAAAGAATTATGTCAACTCTTTCAGAAAGCAGCAATAGAAAAGAGGCTAGTCGCGCGACTGAACGCTGCGTTTAATCAGTTTGAAACCAAGTCATGGATGATGGCGCCAATTCTGGCAGGGGGATGGGGGGCTCCAAGACTTGGCATCTATCGTGCCGCTCTGGAAAGAAATAAGGCCCATTATTGTGACCATGCGCTGGCGGCAGACAGAACGCCGTACGTCACACTCTCAGAGTGTGTCGACAGGATGCGGCGGCTTGCTTCAATATTACACTCGGTATCCGTTTGCCATTTTCTGTGAAAATGATTCTGAGTCTCGATCAATCTCCATAAGTGAGAAAAGAGGGCAGGGGTCCTGAGCGACGGCAGCTTTTGCAACCGCATGACAACATCAGGGTGGGCTAAGCATCAGCCCACATCCCAACGGCAGAGAGAATATGGCATGTGTCAGATGTTGGTGGCTCATAGCCAACAACCGGGATAACGGCGCGCCCATCCACTGCGTCGTTAGTGCATCGATCATAAAGAAATTAAGCTTGATGTCTGTCATCTCTACCGGTAGTGTAGCATAAAATTCTAAGCCATTACGGATACTCTCGATGAGACACGCCGGCTCGGGGGGCAGTAAATCTTCGGAGCATGTGGATTTCCGTTGTCATGCTTCGTTGCGTCCTCGCCCTGCGGACCAGCAGAGACAGACTCTTCTTGTTTCATGCGTCTCTGTGGTGCCCATTCCTACTTCCTACTTCGTGCAGATAGCAGGTACCCTTTGCGGCGCTCGGCGTATCGGGGGTTTTCTTTCGCATCTCTCAGAAGTCATTCACACACGACGGCGGCGAACCTTGACCGAGGAATCCATCGCCTTTGTCAGCTGCAACACGGCTTTAGTGCCGATAGCTTCTGCTTCTAGCAATCAAGTTACCAGTGATTAATAGCTGTGCTTCCCATAACGAACTCCAGCTCAGCGGTGTTCGTGTACTCGGTAAGCAAGCCGTGTTTTCAAGTGACCCGACCTGCAAGCATAGTACTCAATGTTTCTTGCAGCGCTTGTATGCTTTCTGTTTATGGACAGATGATTGAGAGCACCGCTAGCCACATGCCTTCCTGGGCTCGATATTTGCTGTGATTGGCTCTGGAGGCTTTGACACTCTGACTCCATAGTCACCAATGAATTTTCTTCATCGGGTATGAGCCGGCATGGCAGATGGTCCTCCAGTTCCGATTTCGGAACGGTAGCCACGATTACCGCTGATCAGTGACGGTCATGACCTGGGGTAGTGGCGCTGGCGCGTTCCGCACCTCGACTGCGACGCGGGTGTCATGGATACGTCTGTCGAACATCTTAAAATCGAAGACGCCTTCTAGCTCGCGTCGAATGCTGGCCAGTTGCTCGTGTGCCTTGAGGATCTCGTCAGGTTTGTTGTCTTGGTGAACATGGACTTTGATCAGAAACATCCATCGCCGCCCAGGATCGGCCGGAGACATGGTTTCCCACGGACCTGTGTGCGTGAGGGGGCCATTGTCACCGTTCATCTGCAGAATGTAGTGTCTTGAGAGACAAAACTCGACATCTTCTCTGAAGAATTGATAGGTCTCCTCAACAGCCTCGCTCTTAAACCTGTATCGCATTAGGTTGTCTCGTCAAGCTCTGCTAATGAACAGCACCACCTACTGGTAATTGTTGTCTCTCATAACCGACATCAAGTCCTTTTGGTCCCAGATCTCCGTCTTCTTGCGCTGAGTGACGGACGAGCGGTTCTGGGGAGGGTCGGGGAAGTCAGTCCAGCGAAGGGTGCCGGGACGCGCGTTGAAGTCCACTTCCGGGGCGGTCGGGCCGAAGTCCTTGTCCTTGAACACCTCATAGCGAGCTTGAAGAATGTAGGATTGGCGACTCAATTGCTGGTGCAGGTCCTTCCACAACATCTGAATGTCCTTTCGCGGCGTCTTAGGGATAGAATTCTGTTTTGAGATCCCACCCGGTTTGGCCGGGCCCTTGAAATAGAGCACGCGATGGAGACTTTGCCAGGCGGGCATAGCGCAGAGACCACCCAAGACGGAGCAAGCTGCCTGGATATCATCGTCGTCGACGAGCGTTGTAAGAAAGAGCTCATACATGACGATTGGTGCTTCGGCGAAAGTTGGAGAGAGGACGTAGAAAAAGCAAAGATCGGATTCGATATCTAGGCGAGGAATCGTGAAGGTGAAGCTCAATAAGCGCAAAGTGAAGGTGAGTGTTGGCGAAATCGCTCGCGGGAGACATTCCACGCTAAGCTTGATGTGGTATGGCGCAGTTCAAGATCACGTGGATACCCGTCCCCGTGCGTGATTGTTCGGGCGCGTGGTCGCGCTCCCATTCAAGCAGGAAGGAGCTCTGCCCCACCAAAGATAGCAGCTTCATTTCGTCGACCTGACATCCAATCCAGCTGCTTGCAACGTGATGCGAACTTATTCTTTACTGCAAATCAACAATCGGACGGTTTCGGTCTTTCTGGGATCTCGAACGATACACACCACTCGAGCAATGTCATCGTCTAACTCTTCGACCGCCAAGCGGAAACAGAGAGACTCAGTCTCGCCGCCGCCGGTCAAGCGCAAAGTCCAGAGTGGCATGACCAGTGAGTAATGGTCTGCAGACGCGGAGTACACGTTTTTCTAATAACTTTTGAAGAGAGTGCAGTCGCCAATTTCTTCAAACCGCAATCCCAGAAACCCAAAGACCGAACAATCTGGACAGAACGAGCCCCGAATGATGATTCCCCCGCAACTCTGCTTGTCGGCCGCTACGAACCGGAAGATACCCCCACCGAATCTGAAAAGAGGAGGAAGGTTGCCGCGTTTGATCTGGTATGGTAGTGGGAATTACTTTCTCTGATACAGACGAGAGCAATTGACATATCTCGCCCCAGGATTCGACCCTGATCACAACAGCATCTGGCAAGAAGCACGCCGACGCTGCCGCGGACTGGAAGTGGTGGCACGCCACTGTTCCCGGACAGCTGAAGGAGATGTATAACAACCAGGGGTACGTGATTTCTTCGGGATCTTCCTAAGAGCTCGCTGACCTTGTCAGGTACCGCATCGTGGTGCTCTCTAACCAAGCCGGCCTTGTTCTCCATGCCGACCCCAAAGCCAAGACCCCGAAATCGACCAAAGATAGAGTATCTGCATTCAAAAAAAAGGTCAACGCTGTCTTGACGCAACTCGATCTTCCTATAACCGTGTACGCGGCTACGGAGAAGGACATCTACCGGAAACCACGGCCAGGAATGTGGCGAGAGCTTTGCGACGACTACGACCTTTCTGCAGACGTCGACTTGAAGCAGAGCATTTTCGTCGGCGACGCAGGGGGCCGGATAGCCGCGTCGAAAACCGCCAAAGATTTCAGCTGCTCCGATCGTAATTTCGCTGACAACGTTGGCATCGAGTACAAGACTCCAGAGGAGTTCTTCCTCGGCGAGAAACCGCGGGATTTTCTTCGAGAATTCGACATTGTTCACTACCCATACCCAGAAGATCTAGGGTCACCCAGTTCAGATGCTCTGTTTGAGAAGAAGAATAAGCAGGATATTGTCATATTCTGTGGCCCGCCTGGCGCCGGAAAAAGCACGTTTTTCTGGAAGCACCTGAAGCCATTGGGATACGAGCGGGTCAACCAAGATATTTTGAAGACGTCGGTTTGTCTGAGCTGTTAGTCCGGGATGCTACGAGTCGCTGACAAGATTGCAGGCGAGAAAAGTGCGTTCAATCTGCCAAGGAATTATTGAATGATGGTCAATCCATCGCAATCGGTCGGTGGCCTGGACTTCCAACCACGGATATCAGTTACTGACACAAGTCAGACAATACCAACGCCGATCCTGATACAAGAGCCGTCTGGGGTCAATTAGCAAAAAAGCACAAAGTTCCCGTCAGATGCGTGTGGTTCAAGACACCGCTACATATTTGCGAACACAACGACGCTGTGCGATCCATGAACAAGTCCGTGAGTCTAAACTCCTCCCTGCGACAGTGACTTCCACTGATAAGTTTTCAGCTCAATCCAGAGTCTCGCACTGTACTGCCCAGGATGGCCTTCAACGGATTCAAGTCACGTTTCAAAGAGCCGAAGGTCAAGGAAGGCTTCCAAGACATCACCGAGGTCGAGTTCGCCTTCCGAGGGACCAAGGACGAGCATGAGGTGTGGGCCAAATACTGGCTTTAATCGACAGGGTCCTAGGTCCTTTCGGATGGCTTTCACTTCCTCTCTACCTTTTCAATATGTCAATCAGGCTGTCAACAACAGCTACCTGGTAGGGTATCATTGCTAGTGCTCGGGGCTTCAGGACGTCACGTCGAAGAATGTTGGTTTAACAAGCCCGTTACAGACGCAGTGACAGTTTTCCCAGCTTGTCTCAACATTTTCAGCGATTCTTTCAAGCAAACTGGGCTTCCTTTCACAGATAGCCATGGCTCATTCGATGGGTCCAGAGAGAGGAGTCGGCGTGGAGACCGCATTCCACGGTCTCCATTTTGCGCTTCATCGACTACGCACTATTCACGGATTGTGAAACTGCATTCTTACTGTAGCGCGTGGCCATACTGGGCTGGCTGCAGAATCGCGACGTTCCGTTTCAAACAACTTGAACGCAGACACGCGGTCAGGCTGCATGGTCGCAGCCACGAAGCACCTCCATGACTGAAGCAAGGTTTTGCTTCGGAGGGGCATTAAGATATGGGGGGTAATGGTCCTGACGCGCAGACATTCGTCCTAGAAGCCAGTGATCAGCCGGTTTCTCGCATACTGGTCCGGAATTGCCAAATTACAAAGTCAAAGAATGATAAAGCCCTTATGTATCACACTAGCCGAGGCCATCAGGCGGCCGTCTGCTGAGGATACGTCTCGTATAGGTCGGTCGGTTTCATCATGTGGATAACTTAATGCACCGGAGCTTATATGCGGCGCTTCATGAGTCTAACCTCAGGTTCGTGTGGTCCTGCTACTGTTGAGAAATGGTCAAGCCGTCGGTTTGCCTGGGCCCATGCTACCTTTCCCACTTCCATCTATTACTCACCTTTACTTGCCCTAGGGTATGGCTTAGATTTCTTTTTCTTACGCGCCTTGGGATACCAAATCGAATCTGATAAGCAAACTTATGAAATCAAAACACGAGACATGCAGATGGTATCTCTGACTTTGTTACTAACGTGGCGTCTGGAGACGTCTCTGAGTATTAGCAGATTGCGATCAAGCGTTCTTCAACTGGTTAGCCAACCAGCCAGACTCTGATGGAGAATTGTTCGGAACCGACGATTGTAACCAAACAGTTTTCCTAGAGCCCCTGCAGGTTACCATGGTCGATATTGATCAAATGCTCATATTCTCCATCTCTTCAATATATTTTGCGCTTCGAGTAGATTCATGTAGCCTGGGCACCGCACATGCCTGGCTCCAGGTTGACACGTTCCGACCCAGCTTGGCTCAGATGACTGTGCCGCAATGCCGCGACGGTGCCGTGATAGCCGTCGAGAAACGTCTGGGCGTTAAAGTTTGCGGTATGTGGAGGAGACCTACCTAGCAAGAACGGGTGGAGGCACTTGGGATGGTCCGCATGGCAGATCGTCTTAATTCCGTTTAAGGTTTGTGGGGATACCACGACATCTCAACTTAGCAATAAGCAAATTGTTCGCAATAATATCAAGACAACCCCAAGGAAGATAAATGTCGCATACACGTATTAGCAGTTTACAAAACATCTCATTACCCCTTTAGTACTAGGAGTCAGAAGCAAGGAGATAGGAGTAAGGGGTGCAAGGCTAAAGCTTAAACCTATTTATTATTAATACTAAGGATGCGAATCAGTAACGTTAATACAATTGGCCGCCTGAGTTGGTGTTTTATATGATGTCAAGATCCAAGCATGGGCTCGTTCTAAATTGTGGCGTTATCATTGCAAATGTGGCGCTACAAAGTTACACTCGCCTGAGAATGATCGCTCAAAACCACGGCTAGTATTCGGTCTCAATCCAACCTCCTAGTAGATATGCTATCGAGTGGAACGGATTACACGTTCCATCGACCAAGTTGTTTATACAAGCCTGGCTCCTACTTCTACGGCAGTCACGTTATCAAGTCATCGCTCATTATGTGGTCGTACCGTTGTCTTCCCCTACGGAAGCCTGATATCAAGAGGTTTCTGAATTCTCGGAATCGCCATTTCCACAAGGCAACCGCGCAATCTACAACTATCGATCCTAATGGGCTCCCGGCTTCATCCAAAACTGAAATACGGGTTGGCCAGCCACATGAAGCGAGGATATATACACCTTGGGCCGGACATTGGGAACGCAATCAAATCTTGAATTATGCGACAGATCGGCACAGGACTGACACAAGATATGAAGAAGCTTTCATTGGATTTGGACCACACACCAAGTCATTTTGCTCACAATTCGTATACGCCCCAAAGTACCTGATGTTTCTACTAATGCACTTATACATACCTATCTTTTGCTTATATTAACTTGGTTGCACTTAACTTCTTGCTTCCTTTTACCGCTTTGCTGTTATATGACACTCGTTTGCTGTATACCTTCGTAATGCTCATGTGATTCTTCACACGTCAGCAAACAGCCCATTAACCCTGTCAAGTTCAGAACAGCTATTAGGAGGGCTGTGTTAATAGGGAAGTAGAGGAGCTAGATGAAGGGCATAGAATACTCGAGGTCACGAAATTAGGGGCTAGCCTAACTTTCTAGGAAGCTCTGCTGCTGTTGCTAGCTCCGCTGTAGGTTTCTTCCCTTCTTCACCTCTGAATTCTCGCCATAGGCAATACAGTCGTGTATTATGTAACCCTTGTTATTGCTGCTGTAACAGGTCTCTATGTCTATATATACAGTGAACAGCCAAGAGGCTAAGTGGTGTATATCAGCTGGAACACCACAAAAAGTGAGTTTGTAGTTCCTTTTCCTCCGTTCTCTAATGAGAAAACGAAGCCCGCCCACGGCCTCTCGGAGGCATAAGAGCTACATAACCGCACATGGCAGCGCGCGGCGAGGGCGGCCGAGACAGGAGACTTGAATCGACGAGAAAGCTCAGCGGGCCGCTTAGCAAGCCTTGACGGCGGAGATCTTGCAAGAAGCAGAAGCGCCGGTAGAGGTCTTCTTGGGCTCGTGGCCGGGGGTGGTGCCCTGGAACTCGCTGCAGATCTCCTTGACGGAGGTGGCGCAGGTGCCGGTGATGGAGGAGGTATCGCCCTTGTTCGAGTTGATGCCGGTGAGCATCTTGCCGTTGAAGGCCTTGACATTCTTGACCACGACGTTGCGCTCGCCCATGGTCTTGCAGTTGCCGCAGGAGCGGTACAGCTTGCCGAAGTCAACGGCGGTGAAGCCGTCGATGGTGACGGTGCCGAGACCGTTGTGCTGGATGACCTTGTCCTCAGCGCTGCGGGCACCACTATAGGTGTAGTCAGTACGGGCCGGTTGCTGTGTGAAGGTATCGAAGTGGTGAACTTACCCGCCAATGACGCTGGCGTTGCCGTCGCCCTTCAGGGTGAGGGCGTCTTCGCAGACGGCGGTCCACCAGACGTTCTCAATGGTGCAGGAGCCCTTGCAGTGGACACCCTCGATCTGATCGGCGCCGATGATGGCGTTCTTGAGGGTGGCGCCGTTCTCGAGGATGAAGACGGCGTCCTTGTTGCCGCCCTCGACCTGACCGGTGCACTTGACGCCGCGGCCGTAGGTCTTGAGACCACCGTCGAAGGTGCCGGAGACGGACTGGGGGGCCTTGAAGGTGACGGTGCCCTTGGAGGCAGGGATGGGGAAGGAGGCGCGCTTCTCAACGGCGCCGAAGTTGTTGGGGCTGGACTCGGCGCCGGGGGCGGCGAAGACGGCGGTGGCCGAGACGGCGGCGATGACGGCGGAGAACTTCATGTTGAAAAGGCGGTGGTTCGGTCTTGGTGGGGGGGGAGCGCTTGGGAGTTGGTAAAGCTGAAAGGAGTTTAGCAACGAATGAACAAACCACCAGGGCTAAAGAACGTGAGTAGTTGGATCGGTAAAGAATGACTGTAGCGGAAGATGCTGAAGGTTAAGGGGAGAGAAGCTCGAAGAGTTCGGGTTGTCGCAGCCTTCTTATATGAGTGTGAACCTTGGCCGGTTCGTCTCCGTTGGATATTCCCGCAGCAGTCATCCTAATCCCAGATCACCATCGCATTGCCAAGACGTTCACAGGGGAAACGGATGACGAAACCCTTCATAATTGACAGGAATATAGTGTACAAGCTTTTGGTCGAACCATACAGTATACACAGTTCTTGTTGCATGCAGCCTATCCAGTTTGACGGAACAGAGCTCGATAAGAGTTGATGAGGGCGGGATGTTGGGGGGGGGGAGATGCCAAGTGATTAATTTCGGATAAGCACTCTATCCCTGTCTATATGATCCACGCTTATACCTATCTGCGCAACTCGGGGGCTTTGATGAACTGCAAAGTGCGCAGGAAGAAACAGATCCAACGACCAAGGAGTGGAAAGCTGTCCAAAGGTTATTCCATGGCACGAGGAGCAGAGTTCTTGAGATAAACATAAATCTGGCCAAAGGCTATGCCCAGAGAGCTGGCCCATGATGGTGCTCTTTGTGATTTGAATAGATCCGTTTACCTAAATTAGGACAATATTGCGGTCTAGAGGCTGGCGCCGTCTTCCCTTGTCGATCATGAAACAGGTGAGGGCACGCCTCGGACTGATTACACCAGGCGACGAAGTGGGCACATGTCGGCAGAGAGATCGAGGCACGCCCAACCCGCATCGTTCGTCTCTTTAGGAGGTCATCAGGTCCAGGGATTGGGAGAATCTTGCAGTGTGTCAGGGGCTCGCTGTTGGATCTGAGGATTAAGCGCGCGATAAAAAGAAGAGAGAGTCGGACGGAATCCGCAATGTTTGTGGCGCTAGCGTGCTCTCGAATAACATCTGATTGGACCAAGCCCTCTCGTCCCGGCGCAATTAATATATAACTGATCCTATATGGGACCAAACGTCGACCAGGATATGACTCGTCCTCACAGTCCTTACCAGCCAATTCCCAGGGCTCGCGAGCGGGTGCTGGCTTGGAAAAGGAACACTGGCAGTCGACGTTTCCTAGCTGAGGGTTTCTAGTGATTCAGCGAGGTGTCTCAAGGTGTCTAAATGTGTCGGCAGGTCTTATTTTAAGCTTTCTGCTGTAAAACCCTACTGATGGTCGAGCTTTTCCCCAGGGAATCCCTATGCAAGTTTTCCTGGTGGGAGAAAAGATTCAATCATTCTTGCTCGAGCCTAGAACAATCAAAGACTAGCCCCCGGAAGATGACGCTTCAAACTCGTGGGCAAGTCTGATATCATAACCGAAATCACCAGCGTGTCGGTGTGCAGCGAAGTGGCAGCCCTTTCGGAGGGAAAACCGACGCTTGCTGCACTGGTGCTGGGCTTGTAGCGCCGTACATTCGCTTCTTGCCGAACTATGATGTATGCGAATGCGTGACCGGGCGAGCGTGGAGCTATGCGTTTGCGACCCGGCTACCTTACGATACATATTCATCAACCCTGGCCATAATAGCCATCCCATGGGTCTGGCTGGTACGGATAGTAAGCCCCTTCAAACGATGGCCAGCCTCCAGTAAAGTTGATTTTCCACGAACGGCTCTGTGGGTTTTCACGGTCCCACCCCCCAGAAAAACGCCGAGGGTCGCGATCCGCTACTGAGACAATCTGGTAAAGGAGTTGCCAAGAGTTTCTTCCATATGATGCCAAGGCTTTTCGGTATCCACAGATCGTCACACTGGTGGGTAATACGATGGTCGAGGCCCGCGGTCCAACTGGGGAAATGCAATCACTGTGATGGTGTTTTGATCCCCAAAACACTATGAACCCTTCCGCGCAAATGCTTGTGTATCCCATGATAACGACAGATCTGAGGAGTTGAAGATCCGGCCGACGACCTGGACACTTCAAGAAGTCTCATCTGGGACCTAATCGGCCACAAGTTGTCCCCGAGCCGCGTTTAGTGCCTGGCTGAGGGTCACGAGTGGATCATATTCCCCCCGTGAATTCCATCCCGAGATTGCTCCCCTACTGCAAATGGGCACAAGTGTCGGCTAGAACGTCCAAAGTACACGCTGAAGATGCGATATGAAGTGGGCGCCGGACTTCTAGAACACCAAACCCTTGGCCGTGGGCCACACACAGGAAGCATGCCCGCCAAGCTCCTAGGGCTTGCCTGGCTGCTTGGTCAAGCCCGGGCTCTACGGACGTTGGGGCCGAAGTTGCGATCAACGGTTTGTGGGCCTTTTTCATTTTCTCCCTACGAATACGTCCGTTTGCAGTATTCTCTTCGGCATGCCTGAAAATTCTCGACAGGCGCCCACCTTGTATCTACATTGCATTGTTAAGTTGGGGACTACCCTAAGCCTGACGATACAGAAATCAGCAATGACTCGTTCTTTCGGAAAGTATTTCATTGCCGGCTCGTCTATCGAGATGATCGTCTCAGTTGGTAATCTGCCTGTAGTCTAGTATTTTTGATAATCGACACAGACCGGCCCCTCATCTTCGTCATGGCGCACCCCATCTGCGCCTTAACTGCTACCCTGTGCCCATGACCTACCACACTTACTAACGGGCACTGAGGTCTTGAATACAAGGATTCCTTGCCTATGTTTCTGGGTACAGAGGGGAAGTATGCCATACTCGTTCTCGAGCAATCTGTAGTTGTACCGCGCCGGGAGTTGGACCTAGCGATTGCAATATTGCATCTGACTGTAGAGGGGCCGGTAAGATGCTATCGTATGGTCATTGTGATAGCAGCTCGAAGGATTTGAGGGCGAGAATTTGACGGAAACACGCCCCCGTTTCCTCCCAGAAGGAGGATAAGAAACCCTGCTCTATATGCCTTGATGGGGAGGATGTTTGCTTCCGCTGCATGCGACCTCCTGAACGTAACGAGCCTCACGAGCTATCTCTTGCCCCGTTCTCATAATCTGGATCACAATGCCGATATGATATCAAATGGTCTTTGTCGCCACTGAGGGGCATCACTGACTCGAAGAATGAACGACGCTCTGCAACAGATCAAAGACAGATGCACAATCATCCTCCGCGCACCCTGAAAAGTGACAGTAGCAGCTGCAAAGCTTTTTAGATACCATTTCAGCACGTACTGTGCCCCTGTCGCCCAGCAGAGAACCCATGCCGGAGCTCGTATCGCAAGATAGGTCTCTTGGGTTAATCTATCAACCCACGACTATCATTCCATCGTAAGTGACTGGTGTGGCCTTATTGATCCACAAGACAGGTGGCGAAAATGAATATATTCGCTCCGATACCCGCCATCTTTCCCATGTAACGATGTTTGCCATGAATGCCTCAGCTGCGCCGCCATTGTAAGTTGTTGGTATCACAGGGATCGCGATCAAGGTAGCCATAATAGTATTAATTGACTATTAGTAGCTAGGTTAAGATGTTAATAAGGGAAAGAGAAGAGGTTGCTGCTGTGGGTATTTATGGTGGTATAAGTGAGCTGCTGGGGTAAGTTACGTAATAGTAAATTACATAACTATAGATTAGCTCTACTATTAAATAGTTAAATATCCTAACACTAGTAACTTTCTAAAGTAAAAGAAAATTGTTATAAATAGCCTAGATACTGCCTAGTAGCTAAAAAGCTTAAAAACGTAATAAAAATTAAAAGCCTAAAAGTATTTAATACTTTTTGTCTATATAATCTGTTATGTAGCTTAAGAAACCTATCCCTTTATACTAATCTAAACTATCTTATTTCTAACTAGTTATTCTAGCGCCTTATTAAGTAATAATTTAGTAAATCTATTAGTAGGATTATTATTACCTTATATTTATTATACCTTATAAACCTTATGTTACTTATATAACTACTAAAGGGCTATAATATTAATTATAAGCCTTTTTTTTTTATAGTCCTAAGCTTAATAAAGTACTTATAAAGTAAGTATAAGTTAGTATAGAGGATTATTAGTATATATAGTAACTTAAGATAGTTAGTAATTATTATAATAGTTATACTAAGTATATAGGTAATATTAGTATTAGTAACTATACTATAAATCTTAAAGGCTAGTATACTTTAAGTAACTTACTTATACTTTATTAAGCTAAAGTAAATAATATTACTAGTTATAGTAAATCTATTACCTATAGTAGTACTTATAGGTGCCTTATTAGTAAGAATAATAATAAATCCTAGCTATAAAGTAAAGTCCTTATTACTTATAAATAATTTATTTATAAAAATAAAAAGCTTTATAGATTTAAGGTTAAGTAAGTAAAATAATAGACTATAGTTAAGGTTATTTATCTACTATATAATATAATAGTTAAGTGCTTTAATCTTATTTATATTAAGTAATTAGTATTATATTATAATAAAGTAGTTAAAGTATACTTTAGGCTAGTAAACTAACGTAATATACATACTATAGGCCTATTACTTAACATACTACTTAAGTGTTTATAAAGATTCTTTATTAATAAGTTAAAGTCTCTTACTTTAGCCTTTTTATTAGAGAAGGAGCTTCCCCTTAGTAGTTAGAGATACTATACTGCTATTAAAGGTAAGCAGGTTATTAATAGTAAGGATTTACTTCTTTTTAGTAGTAAATATAGCCTTAGTAAGCTTATTAGCCTTATAGGTAGAAAAGGATTTATCTAAAAAGGTAATAGTATTATTAGTCTATATACTAATAATCCTAAAGTCTAGGCTCTTTATATTAGTAATTAGTAGGTATAAATTAAAAGTTAAAGTCTTTATCTAGAGCTTTTCTTTATAGTAGTAACTATACGTTACTTACTAGTAAGTGCCTACCTTTATAATACTATATAATAGCTTTACTACTTATATAATAGTGCCCTTTAGATAAAGGTCTTATA